TGGACTTTTGGCCAAAAACACCCCTTTTTGCTGAAACTCAAAAAATCGTTTTTTGTAAATATCTCAGCATCCAGTAATTCAATTTTAATGAACTTATTTTTATTTTGTAGCCCTTATTTAGCTCTACAATTTAAAAAAAAGTTCATCAAAATTGGACCACTGGATGCCGAGATATTTACAAAAAACGATTTTTTGAGCTCCTGAAAAATGGGCCAATCTGCCGAAAGTGTGACTTATGACCTGTTTTGGAGATATCCGGGGTCCTATATGTAATAAAACATACTATAATATGCAAAAATAAAAAAAAAAAGAGTAAATTAGTAATAAAATAGAATTCTGAAATTCCAACCATTAATCTTGTTGTATAAAACTTTCAGATTTATCCGCTTTATCTTCCAAAATTGCGTCTAAATCTTCATCATCAATATTTAAATTGTCTGTATATTCTGTGTCATATACCATATCCGGTTGATCAACATATGACCAATCAGGAGCATCATCCGGTGGTACTTTATCATAGCATTGTATTTCGTCATCATAGTTCCGAGGTCGCAATTGCTGCGCCGTTTGTCCCACTCTTACATGTTTATCGAGAACATTTCTTAATAAAAGTCTCAACTAAAATGTAAAAATAAATAAAATCGGAAAATGTAAAAATAAGTAAAATCAGAATTAGTGAAAATAAGTAAAATCGGAATTAGTGAAAATTTATAGCAAAATAAATTATCAAGATAAAATAAGTAACCTCTTCTGAGCGCCACGATAGATCATAAACATTAATGACTGATTTTGAACCTTCATCTTCGGTTTCACTCACTTCTGGTGAATGATATGCATGATTTGCCAGAATTTTTAACAGATCCCGTTTTCTATAACTTATAATTCTGCTATCCTTTTTATTAAAGAGATCTTTCTCAGCCTTTATCCTTCGCAATTTTTTCTGATTGATAAATTTAAAATGAGTTAATATGGATTATTAATTTGCCGCTTGATTACATTACATACATCATTTAATCTATTATTGGCATGAACTCTTCGATTGTCCATGCTTTCTTTGCCGGATATCCTCAAACTCAACTTAGATCGTCGAGATTTATGTAGGCTATTTAACCACCTTTTTACCTGGTTAAAGGATGGTCTATAATTCTGAGCAAGTGATTTTCAGATTTTTGGAATTAATTTACGTTGAATTTTAATGTTTTTTGCACTATTAAACGTTTCATTGTAGTTTAAGTTATATTTCTCATTAAGTGTTTTTAAGATTGATTTCATTTTGATCTAATTGATATTTAGAAAAAGAAAAATTAAAGAAAGTATTATAAAATAATAAAATTAGCAACAAACAGATATGTTAGTAGAAAATTCAGTATAAATTTGTGGAGCCAAAAACTTTAGTTATTGAAATTAATAAAAAATTGGTAGTTCGTAAAAGTTAGTATACGAATTTGTGTTGAAATTAGTAAAAATTAGTAATTGTAAAGTTAGTATACGAATTTGCGTTAAATTAGTAAAAAATTAGTAATTCGTAAAAGTTAGTATATGAATCGCGTTAAATTAATAAAAATTTGTAAAAAATTAGTAATTCGTAAAAGTTAGTAGTATATGAATTGTGTTAAATTAATAAAAATTTGTAAATTGTCGTAAAAGATGAAATTAGTATTGAAATCAGTTGCAAAAATTAGTATTGAATATGATTGTTAAAACTCAACAAACCCTTGCTTCTCTTTCGTTAGGCTCTTCGGGTGATTCTTCAGTTGCATTCGATTTGGAATCCATCAAGTCGTTATCAACATCTTCGTCTTTATCGTCATCATCACTTATTTGGACTACGCTTCTTTTGCCCTTGGCTTTTTTGGAAAGATGCTTGGATTCGATATCATCGATCTCACTTGTTCTGATTTTTCTTTTTAATTCTTTATTTTCTGTACCGAATGCATCGTTAATTTCCATAAGCGTACTGAAATCCTCTTTTAAGAGTTTTAATTCCTTAAAAATATCTACGTTTGTTTTCTCCAACTTCGTGTTTTTATTACGCAAATCGGCTATTGTCGCACGTAATTTATGATTTTCTAAAATTTATTAACCAAATTCGGAAACAAACAAACTTTCAATGTAAAGCAACCAAAACAGCAACCAATTTTAGCAATTTTATTACAATTATACCAGTTTCCAAAGATGGATTATCATCATCAAGGTCTAAATTATGGCGAAGTTCCTTTTGCTTTTCTAAATAGGAATCTGGAACCTTAAAATTTTTATATTGTTCTTTCATATGCTGAACTTTTGATTTTGAAGTAACGGTCGATTTGCTAGTGGTAGCAGGCGCAGGAGTAGTTTCGTTGCTAGTTGTGGCATCAGGAGGAATTTCAGAAGCGCTTTTGCTAGTGGTGGCTGCGGTGGCAGCAGGAGTAATTTCAGACGGATATTTATAAACTTTGGTAATTTTTTTTTTTCTTGTTGGGACATGGTGAAAGTAAAAAATTAAGAGAAAGAGAAAGAAAAGAGAGATGAGAGAGAAAAAATTCAAAATTTAAACTTTTATAGTTTAAAATCAGTCGAATTAAGCTTTTTTCTTATAAGCTTAATCACAATCAAATTATCATGATATTGTATTTACCGTCGATTCCTTAAAAATTTTTAACAATTAAATTTATCCCTTAAATGATTAAATGATCTTTTTTATTCTTTTGATTATACGACGAATTTCTTATATTATTCTTTAAAAAAGGATCTAATTTAACTCCTATGTATTACTTTGATTATATGGCAAATTTTTTATATTGTTCTTTAAAAAATGATCTTAATTGAATAATTGAAAACATATTATGGCAATTTATAATGTGAAATTGAATTTGTTCGATTTGTAGCGCAGCAGGAATTTACTTTTTAAAAAGAATTAAATTGACATTATTTAAAAATATATTGATATAAATATTGTAAATTTTTTATTTTATAAAATGAGTAGACGAAAGAGATCAGTTTCTGCTTTACTTAGCAATGATGAAGAATCAATTACAGCTCGCTCTTCTCGTAAAAGTAGAGCGATCTCTAGAGCAATTGATGAAGAATCTGAAGAATCAACTTCGATTATACATATACATGACAGAAGAATGGTTCCTTGCAATTGTTCTGAATGTAACGGAAAAATAGTAGATGTTCGTACAAAATTGAACCATAAGGCTGATCGAGATTCGGATGATGACCAAGATTCGGAAGTCGTTCAAGATTATAGTAATTCTTTACCATCATCATTTGAAGATTATAGTAATCCTTTACTATCATCATCTGAAGATTATGGTAATCCTTTACCAGAAGATAACCCAGTATCATCTGACGAAGATTCAGATAATAATCGGAACGTAATTCAACGAATGGAAATAGAGGAAATAGACGACTTATCAACTGATTTACTTCATCGACAACATTCGAGAAGATACGCAAATCAACAAGCAACAATTACCGAAGAAGAAATTCCTCCAGAATTATTCATAACTGATGAAGAATCAAGCGAAACTGACGAAGAATCAAATGAAAGTGAAATCAATAATGGCAATAATAATGATTATGAGTATACTGAAATTTTTGAGAATTATGCTCCACCTGTTTATGAGCAATTTCAAGATCGAATTAGTCCAGACACAAATGCCAATAGACAATTTTTGTGGATTTTGCTGTGGATAATGAGCTTTCGCAAAAGATTTAATATTCCAGAAACAGCAACAGAAGTGCTTATTCAATTCATAAAGCTGTTATTGATAGAAATCGGCGGTTCTAATTTTGAAGAATTTCCTGGTTCTTTATACTTAGCAAGAAATGTTCTTGGGCTAAAAGATCAACATCATAACTTTGCGGCATGTCTGAAATGCCACAAATTATATAATAAAAAGGAAGTTGAAGAATTTCAGCAAAATGGAAATCTTACAGTTATGAAGTGTAGTCATGTCTAATTTCCTAATTCGACATCCAGGATATTAAAACAATGCCAGACGTCTTTAGCAGAAAGATCAACGTTATTACATGGCCGTATTAAAATTCGATCTGAGAAGATATTTCCATTTGCTAGTATCAGAAATCAATTAGCATCAATGTATTGCCGACTGGGATTCGAAAGAAATTTACGTCACTGGTCTGAACGCAAACGATTTGACAATATTTTAACTGATATCTATGACAGTCAGGTCTGGAAAAATTTTAAAGAAACAAGCGATGAAAATTCGGCGAAATTTTTTCGACCTGAAGTGGCTGATTCTAATCTTGGTTTAATGTTGAATCTTGACTGGTTTCAACCATATAATGGTGTTATCCATAGTACCGGAGTAATATATGCCGCAATTTGTAATCTACCACAGGATATGCGGTTTAAACGTGAAAATATGTTGGTTCTTGGTTTGTTGCCGGGCCCAAACGAAGTGAGTCTCCACCAAATTAACCATTATTTGGCGCCAATTGTCAACAAATTAGTGTTACTTTGGGACGGAGTGACGTTTGATAACACTTTTGAGTACCAAGAACCAAGAAAAATTTGAGCAGCACTGATACTCATTTCGTGCGACATTCCCGCGGCAAGAAAAATATGTGGGCATATTTCAGCCCTTTCATCGTGTTATAGATGTGAGAAGAAAGCAAATTACGAAAATCATAAACATAATTTCGCTGGAATGGATAATATGAGCGAATAGTTCATCAATCGAGATTCAGCACAATTTCGCAAGAATGCCCTTGGATGGTGTCGCTGCAATTCAAATGCTGCAAGGAATCGCTTTGTAAAAACTACTGGCGTAAGGTGGTCTGAATTGCTGAGATTGCCATATTTCGACCCAATTCGGTTTTTATCAATTGATCCAATGCACTGCCTATTCTTATGCATTGCAAAGTGGATTGTTAAGCAGATTTGGGTTGATGAAAATATATTAAAACTGGAAACTCTAAAAGAAATTCAAAAGAAAATGAATCAATTCCAAGTACCAGATGACATAGGTAGGATCCCGGGAAAGGTGGAATGTGGCGAAGGTTTTGCGAATTTTACGGCTGATCAGTGGTGAATATTTTTTAACATTTATGCCACGGTGTCACTTTGGAAACACCTTCCTGGCATAGATAAGAAGATTCTTATACGCTTTGTAAGAATTTGCTCGATTTTGGTAGAACGAATTGTTCAATCCAATTTAATGGATGAAGCTCACCAAAAATTAGTTGAAATCGTAAAAATAATTGAGCAAAATTACGGTCAAGATATGATAACTCCGAACCTTCACCTTTCGTTCCATTTATACGAATGTGCAAAAGATTTTGGGCCTCTTTACGCTTTTTGGTTTTTTTTGTTCTAGTGCATGAATGGCGTGCTAGGTAAGATGCTGACTTCTAAAAATATCCTTTTTCTTCTAAAATTAATTTTAAATTCCATTCCTTTATTTATTTTTTAGGTTCTTTGCCTAATAGCCATTTGAAAATTGAACCAGAGCTTATGCGCTTAATTATGAACGATAAACAAATTAATAATATTGTTAGTTCTGGAATAGTTGATACAAAATGTCTCGATATACTTGATACCAGACCTTCAGTCGGTTCAATTTCAGAACCTGACGAATTTACTTCAGTTGAAATGGAGCGATATTTGCTATACTCGCAAAATATTAAAGAATCTCCGATTGCTGGATGCGAAGCATTTTCAGGAGAAATGCTAGGCCCTTCCTCGGAAAAAGTTATAATGTCAAGTGAAATGCTTGACATAATGGTAGATTATTATAATGTGACCTACCCAGCAAATAACTTCCGAAAACCATTTGGAGAAGGACCCGAAGATTCAATTATTATTCGCGTCAGAATGAATCAATTCGGAAGATGCAGAATTGGTTCTGAAATATTCGGCTCAAAAATATCGTCTCGTCATGTGAAAAGTTCATTTGTTACAGCAAAATTTATAACGATTGATGATGATGTTGACGTTTACCCTGGTCAAGTTCAATATTATTTTACTCATACAGTTGACCTTCCGAATGGTCCTGCTGAGCATTTTTTGGCTTATGTCCGATGGTATAAACATGCAGGCTCTAGAAATATTCGATATTATTTCAGTAGTGATAATAACATTAATACTTGTAATGTTGAGCTATGGTGCGCCGAATTTTATCAAGAGTCACGTGATTGTATTATTCCGGTTCATCATATTCTTAGTCAATTTATTCCAATAAATTACCGAATTTCAGACCAAAGGAATGCAAGAGAGTATTTAGCTGTAAATCAAATAAATAGAAAATACCATATTCGCTAATAAATTCTTATTTGTCAATTTATAGATTAAAACTGGATTTATTATGATTTATCCAGATTTATTAGTATTTGATCGAGTTTGGGAGGATAAGAATTAACTTTAACAATTTTATCATATGCTAATTTTAAATTAAATGTCAAATTTATTATGATTTATTATATTTATTATGAATTATTATATTTATTATGATTTATCCGGATTTATTGGATTTGGGAGGATAAGAATTAACTTTAATTAAAGTTCAAATGCCAAAAATGCTGAAATTAGGCTGAAACTCGGTCTTAATTTTGGCCAAAATTAAAATTTGGCCGAAATTAATGATTTTATCATATGCTAATTTTAAATTAAATGTCAAATTTTTATTACCATAAATCGGAAATGCCGAATTGTGTAAATTGTCTGATTGTTATAAATTCGGAAATGCCGAATTGTGTAAATTTTCTGATTGTTATAAATCGGAAATGCCGAATTGTGTAAATTTTCTGAATTTTAGCTGAATTTAGTTTGATTTTCAGCTGATTTATCACTAAGGTTGCTTGTTTAAACCTCTTCAAAATCCTACGATTAGTTTCATCAAAATTTTACTATAGATTTATTATAGTTTCGGCAGAATTTCGCTTTTCGGCGAAACGCCATCTTGCCTAAACCTCTAGGTTTCGGCAAGCAACCTTATTTATCATATGTCCGATTTGCCTTATTTCGACTAGTGTGGTTCATATTCAATTTCTTTTTTATATTTTTTGTATAAATTGGAACGAATCTTATCTGTCAAAATACTTGGCAAACCAGTTAATTTGGCGATATTTGGGAGTTAATATTTTATCGGACTTGGCCATGTTGCCTTTTTCTATAATTGCAAATCAATCTAATTAGGTAATAGTTGACAGGTGTAAAAAAATAATAATAAAGCAAATGTAGTCACAAAGTGACCTGACTATGCAACTATTTCAATTTCACGCTGTTCACATTTAATAAAATAAGATCCAGTTTTATATGTATCCTCTATAATTTCTTCATCATCATGCTTTAACCTGTATAATGGGCATGATGTCTCATCGGTAATACCATAATAATCAAAATTTTCGCTACTAAATTCTCTATATAAATTTGGATATTGATTTAATGTCTTGTTGCAAAAATAGGATCGGTCATAAGTTGGCTTAGATTGATTGGAGGAAAATATAGATAATACATT